CAGATGTGTCTCTTGCAGAGATCTGTGACTTCTCTAACTCTCTCGATACTGCCCTTTGCGGAGCAGAACTTTTAAATTATAATGATGTCCAGCTTATCTGTCAGTTTACACGTAGACCTGTTTCCATTTTCAGTAATTTTTGTGAAGGGTGTGAAGCCTGTGCCCAGGTTCATTCTCCTGCGTGTGCATGCTAGTTTTCCAGCACTGTTAGTTGGGAGGCTGTCTTTGCTCCATCACATTGCCTTTGGTCCTTTGTCCGAGGTCAGTCACTGTGTTTGTAGGAGTCTGTTTCTGGGCTGGCTGTCCTGTTCATTGGTCTCTGTTTATTTTGCCACCAGCGCCACAGTGTCCTGATGACGGTAGCTTTAAAGCTGGTCTTGAAGTCTCTAGCTTTGTTCTTCTCCTGCAGTATTGTGTTGGCTAATCTGGGTCTTTCGTGTCTCCATACAGACTTCAGAACCAGCGTGTTGATATTCATGAAGTAATTGCTTGGGAGCTTGATGGGGACTGCAGTGAATCGGAGACCCAGCTGAGAATGACTGACTGACACTCGACAGGACTGAGTTTTCTTACCCACGAGCATGGGGTGTTCCTCCGTTTGTCTGGTTCTTCTTTGATTCTGCTCATCAGAGTTTTGTGGTTTTCCCCAGGCAGACTTTGTACATATGTTATTAGGTTTATACCCAAGTATTTCATTTTGGGGTGCTGATGTAAATCATACGGCTTTTAATTTCAGATTTCTTGTTCATTGTTGACTTGCAGGAAAACAGTTGACTTTTGTGTATTAACCTGGTTGCCTACAACCTTGCTGTAATTACTGACTAATTCCAGAAGTTCTCCTGTTGGGTCTTTCAGATTTTCCACATAGATGATCATGTCGTTTGTGGACGGTTTTTATCTTTCTTCCCAGTACACGCACCTTTCATTTCATTTTCTTGTTGCGCTAGCGAGGACTGCAGTACAGAGTTGAACAGGAGTGGTGAGAGAGCATCCCTGCCTGGTGCCTGACGTTGGTGGGAGAGCTTTCGCTTTCTCATTAAGTGTGACTTCAGCTGTAGTTTTTTTGTAGATCTTTATCAAGTTGGAAAAGTCCCCCTTTATTCTGAGTTTATGGAGTTTTATCATGAATGGATTTTGGATTTTCATTTCTTGATAGGAGCGTGTGACGTGCCTTCTTTAGTCTGTCAGACGTGGTGGAGTACGTTGATTTGCAGCCAGCCTTGCACACCCGGGTTGAATCCCACGTGGTCAGGGTGTGTAACCTTTCTGTGCGCTTTTGGATTCAGTTCTCTAGTGCTCTGTTGAGGACTTTCGCATCTGTGTGCACGCGAGGTATTGGCGTACCGTTTCCTTGTGATCAAGCCTGTGTGGTGTTGGTGTTAGGGTGACGCTGCCTAGAAGGTGGAAGCCCTCCCTGGAGAGACGAGGCCGGTTTGGCGTGATTTCTTCCTTAAACGCTCAGTCGTTTTCCCAAGGAACCCGCCTGGGCCTCGTGCCTTCTGCCTTGGAAGGTTGTTCATTGTTGATTTAACTTCCTTAATGGCTGCGGGTCTGTTCAGATAGTGCACTTCTCGTGGAGGTTTTGGTGGGCTGTCTCTTCCAAGGAGGGCCACTGCATGCGGGCCAGCAGGCTTGTGGGCAGGGAGCTGCTCGAGTGTCCCTTCGTTTCCGCTTTAATTTCCGTGGGGTCTGTAGTGACACCCCCGTTTCATTTCTGGCAGTAGCACTTTGTGTCCTCTCTCCTTTTTCTTAGCTTGCCTAGAGGTTTGTTGGTTTTATTGGTCTTTTCAAAGAACCACCTTTTGGTTTTGCTGGTTTTCTCCGTTGGCTTCCCGTCTTTAATTTCGTTACTGTCTGCTCTCACTCGCGTGTCTTGTCTTCTGCTTCCTTTGGGTTTAATTTCCCCTTCTTTTTTTAGTTTCCTCAGGTGGAAACTTAGATGATTGCTTTTAGATTTTCTCTCTAATATGTGCGTCCAGTCCTATGAATGTCCTTTGAAGTACTGCTTTCCCTGCATCCCACAAATTTTGATAAGTTATGTTTTCATTTCCATCTGACTTAAAATATTTTAAAACTTCCCTTGATAGTTCATCTTTGACCCATGTGATATTTAGAAATGTGTTGTTTAATCTCTGCGTATTTGGGGATTTTCCAGTTCTTTCTCTGTTACTGATTTCTAGTGTAATTCTTCCATGGCCCAAGAGCAGACATTTTTCTGCTCTTTCCGAGCTGTTACAGGGTGTGGCGTGGCCCGGGCTGTGGCCTGTCCTGGCGACGGTCTCTGTGAACTTGAGGAGAGTGTGCGTCCGGCTGCTGTTGGGCAGGTGGTCTTAGGCGGCCCTTGCATCCAGCTGGCTGAGTCCAGCCGTGTCCTCGCTGAGTTCTGCCTGCCGGGTCTGTCCGTCTCTTTGAGAGGGGGGTGTTGAAGTCGATGATAGTGGATTCGTCTGGTTTTCCTTTCAGTTGTGCTAGTTTTTGCCGCATGTAGTTTGACACTGTTGTTAGGCGTGTACGTGTCTTAGAGAATTGACCCCTTTATCCTTTTGTAAGGCCCTTTTCCCCGGACAGCTTCCCTTGCTTTGAAGTCGTCTCTGTCCGAAATGAATGTAGCTACTCTGACTCTGCTTTGATCATTGTTAGCACGGTGTGTCTTTCTCCATCCACTTACTTTTATCCTCCATGTGTCTTTGTGTTTAAAGTGCATCATTTCCTGTAGGTAACACTTGGTTGGGTTTTGTGTTTCGATCCACTCTGACATTCTGTTTTAATTGGTGCGTTTGGACCCCTGACGTTCAGAGTGATCGTGACGTGGCTGGGTTAGCATCTGCCACACTTGTGACAGGTTTCCCTTTGTTGCCCTTGCTTTGTTCCTGTTTTCATCCTCCACTCCTTTTCTGCCTTTTGTGGTTTTAATTGAGCATTCTGTATGATTCCGTTTTCTCTCTTTTCTTAGCACGTCAATTATATTCCTTTTTCCCCTTTTTTGAGTGGTTGCCCTAGAGTTTACAGCACACATTTGCAACTAACCCAAGTTCACGCTCAGATGAGCCTGCACCACTTTGTCGGTGGTGTGAGGACCCTGTAGGAACCAGGTAACCCTGCCTTCCTCTTCCCAGCCCTGGTGTCATCACTGTCGTTTGTTTCACTTACACCAGCGCACACGTGCGTGCATGTGTACACATACACATATTCATGCACACGCAGGAGCATGCACTCGTATCCACGCACCGCACAAAAGCACACGTAATCAAATACGCTTGCTATTGCTGTTTTAAACCAAGTATTAACTGTTCAATCAATTAAAAAAAATGAAAGTTTCACCTTCACTTACTCCTCCTTGGATGCTCTTCCTTTCTTTGCGCAGGTCCAAGTTCCTGACCTCTCTTATTTTCCTGTTCTCCTGGGCTGTGGACTCTTTCTTTCTCCATCCCCGTCGGTGGGACAAGGTGGCTGGAGTTGGGTGTTTCTTTTCCTCCGGGTCATTCTGGCTCCGATGAGGGCAGCCCCCCCGAGGGCGGCCGTGCCAGGAGCCGCGTTCTGGTGCGCTTCACAGGGCCCCTTTCCCGGGTTTCCCTTTGATGTTCACCGTGGAGAGGGGTCCGGCTCCTGGAGGGGGCCCCCCCTGTGGTGGGGCCCTAGTGACAGAGCTCCTGGAGGTTCTCTCTCAGAGTTGCTTGTGCTGAGCCCCCAGCAGTGCCCCGTGTTCCCACCCAGGCCGGCTCCTGCCGCAGCTTCTGCGCATGCGTCTTGCCCGGGAGCACGACTGAGCCGCTGGCCCGTCTCCCTGCGTCCTCGCCTCTCTCACGGGTCGAGAAGAGTTGCTGACTTTCTAGTCACCTCGGCTTTTTACAGGCTGGAGAGTGGCGACCTCCAAGCTCTTTGTGTGCTGAGCCGGCATCCAGTCCTTTTTACTGGCTTCTCGTTCCGTATCTATCCTGCCGAGCTCTGATTGCATTCTGTGAGATGTGTGCCTTCTGGGGCACAGGTGGCTGAGTTTCTGCAGGTATGTGCACCTGTGGAGCCAGCCCCACTCGAGACAGAAGGTCCCCTCAGCCTGGACAGCCCCTCTGCCCCTCGGCAGGTGGTTCCCTCCTGATCTGTGGCCCAGGCACCTGCTGGCTCCAGGGGATAATTTTGCCTTTTTACGAACCTCACAAGTGGAATCATCCAGGTCGTGCCCTCCTGGCTCCCTGCTCCTCCTGCTCGTGCTGGCTGGCTTTGAGCCCGGCCACGGGGGGTGCCTCTGGAGGTGGTGCCTCTCCGTGGCTGCCAGGTGGTCCGTCCTGTGAACGGACCCCGTGTGTCCGTTCGCTGCTTGGAGCACTTGCAGGCGGCTTCTGGTTTTGGACAGTCGTGAATAAAGCTTCTCTGGATGTGGAGAGGTCTCTGTGTGCACTTGTGTTTTCTTTTCTCCTGAGTGAGTATCCAGCGTGATCGCTAGGCTGTGTGCCGTGTCTGGGGCTGGCCGGGCGACAGGTGAGCGCGCCCCAGTCACTGGGCCTCGCCGCCCTGGATGCCACGCTTTGTCCCAGGCTCCCGGGTGTCGGCAGATTCCTCATTGCGATTGGTTCACACTGCGGGCGCCCGGGGACGTTTGTGGTGTCTCTTGTGAACTTCCTGTTCACGTCGTTTCACTGTTTAGAATCGTTACTGTGTTGTTCGCCTTGCAGGTGAGGTGGGAATCTTTTACATAGTCGATGCAGGTCACTTGCAGATGTATGTTTGTTAATACTTCTCTCTGTCACCTGGCTTTTTATTCTTTAATGTCTGTTTTGAAGCTCTGAGGGTTTTTATTTTGATGGAGTCCAGTTTGTGATACTCTGTCTGTATCTACTCCACGGCCATGGAGATTTTCTCCTGTTTTTTCTAGAGTTTTTAGTGGTTAGTTGTACTCAGGGTGGTTGTGGTAGCTTGTGGTCGAATTTAATGGTCCTCAGTGAGTGCTTACAAAAACAAAATGGGTGTAAAAAGTGTTCTTTCTCTCTTTAAAAAAATTTTAGATCGCCAGGCGGTCCTTCAGGCAGGAGTGGACATCGAATGGTGGCCTGGAAGAGACAGTTAATCCTTTTTGGTGGCTTCCATGAGAGTACACGGTCAGTACCAACAGCAGGTGACCTTTGCTGGAGCAGGAAGGAGTGGGGTTCTTATGGGAACAACCATTCCAAATGCACATGGAAAATGCCACCACTCCCCTAAAACCATGTGAATCTAAACTTTAGTTAAAGTAGTAACTTAGTGTACATGGTAGGAAGCGTACCTTTAATTGAAATGAGGTTCATTTTCTCGTGTTGCTCTATTATAACAGAGATTACATCTACTACAATGACGTGTATGCCTTTAACCTGGACACTTTGACGTGGAGCAAGCTGTCCCCGTCCGGCGCCGGGCCCACTCCCCGCTCGGGCTGCCAGATGTCCGTCACTGCCCAGGGCAGCATCGTCGTCTACGGGGGCTACTCAAAGCAGGTGAGACATGGCGTGCGGGAGCGCAGAGGGACTGCTGTCTGTCTGCTGCCTTGAAAACTTCCCAGAAAGGCTGCATGTCAGTTTAATAGGAACAGCTTCTGTTGAGTGAGGGACAGAGGTGGTGCTGATCTGCAGCTCTGTGAACGGACTGAGGTTGTATGGCCACATTATGTTCTAACCCACGTGCCCCGAAACACAACGTGAAGGACAACCGAGGTGAGGAGGTGCCCATGCCCACCGCACCCTGCCCGGCAGTGCGCACACGGCCCTGCCGTGCAGCCTGTGCTCAGACTGTGTCTGGAAAGGAAAATCAATGTGTTTTCTGCAGTCAGGAGGGCCCTGTGAGCCAGGCTGCGGTGTCCGAGGCTGTGCCCAGTGCCCCCACCTGCTGCTTTATCACAGTAGGCGCTCCATCGTGAAGCAGACGATGAACAGCAAGATGCTGTGATGCTGGTGCCACTCCATTCAGAGCAGATCCTGGTCCCCAGTCGTTGTGGTTCTGTAGCCACTGGAGCAGCCAGGGGCGCAGGTCCCCTCAGTTCAGGGCCCCCTCACTGCAGGCCTTTGGCATTTGACACACAGGGAGAAGCTGGCGTGTTTGCATTCACAGGGGATTTACCAGAGTCTGTACAAGATGTGAGTGTGATGCTGTGGTCGTTTAAGGAGGCATGGCCTTCCCAGGAGCAGCGCATTGGCTCCTCCCGCGCATGTCGCCTCTCGGCCTGGGGCTGTTGGCCGAGCCATGCAGTGAGCAGATGAGACCCAGCACAGTGTCCAGTGGGGCAGCCTGTCCAAGCGGATCTTAGCTCATGAGGCTCGGCCTCTTGGTGGTTTCTTTGTTTCACAAACGGTCCACCTGGCTTTGAAAAATTACTGCCATTGTCAGTCCAGGGGACCAGCACAGAATCCTGATAGCTTTGTAAAACCAACCGCTTGTGGGCCAGGATGGTGAGGGTGGCTGTGAGCCAGTCGGTAACATCGGCAGGTCAGAGCAAGGGAGGCGGCGCATCTCCCCTGCTCTGGGCGCATGTGCGGGCCGAGGAGAGTTCCAGGCATGGGTTAGAGGAGCCCCTCCCTGCGTGCCCATAGGGTGTCTCCAGCGTGCATGCCAGCGTTGTCCATCCTCCCGCCCGCTGTGAAGCGGCGCAGTGCGCCCTCACCCACCACCTGCCAGCTTCTCCACGGGCGGCACAGCGGCAGGGCCTCTGCCTCCCTCAGCCCAGCCCTCCCACCGCCCCTGCCGTCCTCACCCAGCGCATTCTTGACGCCCGTGTGCCAGCGCTCTGCCCCCCGCCGGCGCCTGGTCCTGTGCGTTAGTGCCTGTGCAGCTGCCCCGGGAGAGCAGGTTCCTCAGAGCGGCTCCTCCCTCTGGGTCCTTCTCACCTCATCAGGATCCTGGCCAGGTTGGGCGGCTTCTCCCCACGCCCTGGGGCGAGACTGGCGGGCCCCAGAGAGGGTGAGTCGGGGCCTCCCGCAGCAGGGGCCGTGCCCACCAGAGCTGTCACCCCCACCTCCTCATCCTGGGACCTGACGGCACCGAAGCCGGGGGCCTGCTCTCCTGACCCTGGAAACGCTCTGTCTCCAAGTCTGAGGCCGAGGCAGTGGGAGCTGCGGATTCAGGCCACGCGTACAGAGCCCCCGCTGGGCCGCGAGGCGGCAGCAGGAGGGCGCATGCTGGGCGCCGGGGTCCCACACACCCTCGGTGGTGTTGCGGACAGTTGCGCTGTGGTAGCGCTCGGTGCACGTCTCTCAGATGCCTTTGGAGCCCGTCAGCTGTCCAGGAAGGAAGTGTGCGTGTGGGGGGAGGAGCTCTTCTCTGCAAGACGCATCCTGACTCACTGCCCTGCGGCGCCGTCCACTCCTGGAGCTGCCTGAAGGAGGGCCCGTCCCTAGTGAAGGGCCCACACCCTCTCCAGAGCTCCAGCTGGCATGCCCTCGGTGGGAGCGCGACACCTCCAGACGTCCACGCAGATTCTGTTTCTTCTAGTGCGGTTGAGCCCAGTGAAAAGGCTGAGCAGAAAGCCAGTGTGATGTGCGTTAACGGAAAGGGTTTGGGCCGCAGGTTGTCCTGAAAACAAGAACCGGACACGGCAGCCTGGCGGCCTTCGCGCTGAGGACAGGGAGGTTGGACCGGGGCGGGTCGCACACTTCAGGAGGGATGTCGTGCTGTCACGGGAGGAGCTCGGCAGCTTGGGGGCATCTTCGCTGCCCCAGCCAGCGGGCTCTTCCCGCCGCAGCCCTGCGGGGAAGCTGCAGACGCAGCCTTAGGAAGGGTTCTGGCTCACAGGTCTCGGAGGGACATGTTTAAATGTCAGGGCATGAAAGGACCCCCTTAGCTTGTTGGATTGGAGGAGAATCACGCTGTCGGCGGATCCGCACCGTGGGTGCTGTGAAGCCAAGGAGGCTGAGTGGTGGGCTGGGCTCAGCTGTGATTTGAGTTTCTGACAATAGACAGACGGACGGCGCTGGAGTCCTTCAGTGTCCTACCAGCGGGCGAGGCCTCTGGGTGTGAATTTAGTTCCTGAGGGGAGGGTGGGCCTGGGAGTGGCCACTACTTCCTCTGCTGGCCTGCTGGGGAAGGGAGGCCTGTCCAGACTCCATGCCGGCCTCTGGGTGCAGGGCCCCGGGAGTGCCTGTAGGAAACCTGCACCAGTGGGGCATCAGAGGGCCGCTGGTGCTGACTGGAAGGTTCCCAGCAGCCCGAGCGGGCCGCAGCGAGCAGCAGAGTAAGTCAGGTGGCGAAGACTCTAGTCCACGGGATAAGCCAAGTGTCCATGAGTCGTGTGGTCGTCAGCAAGGGACTGAATGAGTCAGATACACTGGGGAGAAGACGGAGCTCTGCAGGGTCCCACGTAGACGTGGGCGCTCGTCCTGCAGGAGGTGCTGTGACCTCCAGAGGGGGAGCTGTGCAGACTGACGTTCCTCCAGTGAGGATGGGGCGAAGGTGGGGGTGAGGGGGCAGCGACTTGAATGTGGAGAAACCTGGTGACGCCTCAGCCAGGTGATGCAGGGGAGCCTCCGCAGTGCCGGGTCATGGGGACCATGCCCACCCTGTGGGTGCCGTGGAGGGGTGCTTCCTCTGGGACCCACTGCCCGGTCCAGGCATGAGAGAGACCTCGGCCCGGGCCCAGGAGAGGGCTTCGACAGAGTGCCTGCCCAGCGCGTCCCAACGCCCAGGCCGTCAGAACAAGGCCAGTCTGAGCCACCAGCACAGCCCGGGGAGCCCGGGGGTCTGTGCCAACCCACTGCGGCGCGGGTCCTGGGAGAGTGGAGGGCTGCAGAGGCGGGGTTTTGCTGCTGACCGTGACAGCCATGCCACGTTAGCGAGAGGTGTCAGCGGTGAGGGGAAGCCGGGGCAGGGTGCGTGGCACCGTCTTCTCAGTTTTTTGTGAATGTGAAATGGATCTGAAATTAAAAGCAATGGGGCCCACGAAGGCTGAGGACACAGGAATGGAAGTTGCTGAGATGGGCTACCCAGGCCGGCCGCGTGCTGCGTCGCTGTCTGGACACTTCTCACGTGGGGGTGGGTGCAGCGTAGGACTCGGGGTGCTGCTCGAGAGCACAGTGTCTGGGCCTCCAGGCATCATGAAGCTCATTTGCAGCTGGAGAGCCGAGTTCAAGCAGACTGTGTTCTCAGAGCTCGGGAAGGCTTTTCAGTGGTGGTGCTGGCTCTGGCGCAGGGTGTCTGGGTGACCCTTGCACAGAAGCTGGGAGCCCACTCTTCAGAAGGTGGTGGGGGTTTGAGAGCGCACGGGCACAGGAGGTGGAGGGTGGCCGTGTGGTGATGATGTGGGAGGTCCCTGTGGGGGTCACACAGGAGCCACGGGAAGCTCTGAGAGACCCTGCAGTATTCCTATTCCGTGGTCTATAGGATCTTGGGGTTCAAAATGTGAACTTGACCCTTTCTTCTTAAGTCACAGCAAGATCTGTTACAGCTGTTCACGACCTGTCGTCTTCCAGCTTTTCTTCAAGGTTGAGTCGCCTCCACGGGAAACAAGACCACAGGCTTGTGGGCCTGTGCATGGCATGGCGCGGTGGTTCTCACGGCCCCCTTTTCCTTCTGCAGAGAGTCAGGAAAGACGTGGACAGAGGCATCCAGCACTCCGACATGTTCCTGCTGAAGTCTGAGGAAGGAAGAGAAGGTACTTGGCCGCCCAGAGGACGGGCCGCACAGGTGGTGTGCAGGTGCCCACGGAAGGTGGTGGAGGAGGGACATGGGGCTGAGGGAGCCCCCGCATGCTGCCCCCTCGCCCTTGGGCAAGCCAGGCGGATGCTCCACACGTAGCCCCCTGTGTCCACCTGTGCGCACAGCAGGTGTGCTGAGGGGTGTCCCCTCTGGGGTGCTGGGGACACGCTGAGCTGAAACCAGGAGTGGTGTCAGTCCATACACCACTCCTTCCGCAGGGGCGGTAGCTGCTGCGTCTCTGTCATCCCCTGTTCGGTCTTGCTCCAGAGGACGTGTCCCACGTGAGGACGTAGACTCTCGGGATGCTTGTGACGGGACTGAAATGCCCAGTGTCCTCTTTTAAATTTTTTTATTTTTATTATTATTATTACTACTGTTTTTGGTGGGGGAGGGAGGTAATTGGGTTTATTTACTTCTTTATTTTTAGAGGAGGCACTGGGGATTGAACCCAGGACCCCGTGCGTGCTGAGCATGCGCTCTGCCACTTGAGCTATACCCTCCCCCAACCGTCCTCTTTTTAAAGCTCAAGTAGCAGGGCGGTGATGCACATGGCAGGACGAGAGGCCTGGACGGTGGGGCTCGGCGCTGCCCCAAGGCCCCCGTGAGGCCTGTCTCCATAAAGTGGGAGGAGCCTGTCCTCGTCCCTGGACGAGGTGCTTCTCAGCCCCAGCCACTGCGTTGAGGTGACTGATGAGGACAAGGGAGCCAAGGTTTGGAGCCCCGTTTACGCCTCAGCAGACTTGAACTTGAAAACGACTGTGTCCTAGGCAGTGGGACCCCAGCCCTTGTGCTCAGCCCTGGGTCAGGCCCTTGGCCCCCAAGGAGGAAGGAGAACGCGGTGCGTCTTGACCGCACCCGGCCTGGTGGGGCAGGCGAGCCCGCCCTGACCACACACATGGCACCTGACCTTTATTATTTTATTCTTTTTCCTTCTTTAAACGTGAAAATGCTGGTTGTCACAAGTGATCTTGTGGCCTGTGAATGTGTGCACCTGAGGTCATGCCGCACGGTCTGCACGGTCCTTGGTTGGTGGTGAGGGGGGTGTGGGCATGGTGGGTGCTGAGCTGTGGAGCAGCAAACGCGGGTGCAGCATCCAGGGGTTCCCCATGTCCTCACTCCTCTCCTCCGACAGGCAGGTGGGCGTGGACTCGGATTAACCCTTCTGGAGCCAAGCCCACCCCAAGGTCTGGCTTTTCTGTGGCGGTGGCCCCGAACCACCAGACGCTACTCTTCGGAGGGGTGTGTGACAAGGAGGAGGAGGAGAGCCTGGAGGGCGACTTCCTCAATGACCTGCACTTCTACGACCCTGCCAGGAACCGCTGGTTTGCAGGGCAGCTGAAGGTGGGGTGTGGGCCAGTCCCATGTCACCTCTGTCAGTGGCGCCCAGGATCTCCCTGGTCCCTCTGGGCAGCTCTGAGGAGCTGTCACCATAAGCGAGGACAGGGACACCTCTGCGTCTGCTGCAAGCACTAGCCTGAGAGACGTAGCACAGTGTCTGCTGTCCTGGGTCCCAGGGGCTTCAGGCCTTGAAGGGTGCGTTGGATCAGAGGCCTCAGGAGCAGGGCCCCACGGCCAGAGGAGGACGTCCACGTGTCGTGGTGATGCTGTGCCTCGGCACCTGCATGGGGAGTCAGGCAGGCTGAGGGCTTGTGTCTGCTGCTCGTTCCTCTGAGAGTCACAGCATGCAGGGGCGGCGTCGTCCCTAGGGTTAGTCCTAGCTGGTGGACTGGGGGTCCTCTGACTGTTGGGTCCAGGATCACAGCACGTGGGGGCAGCGTCGTTCCTGGGGAGTCCCAGCAGGTAGACCGGGGGTCCTCTGACTGTTGGGCCACAGTCATAGCAGGTGGGTGCAGTGTAGTCCCTGATGTGAGTCCCAGCAGGTGGACCGGGGGTCCCTTACTATGGGATCTGGGTCATTGTAGTCAGGGGCAGTGTGGTTCTATGGGTGAGTTCCAGTAGGTAGACGTGGGTCCTCTGGCTGTTGGGCCAGGGTCACAGCAGGTGGAGGCAACATGGTCCCCAGGGTGAATCCCAGCAGGTGACCTGGGGTCCTCTGACCGTTGCCCCAGCAGCCTTGGTGGTTCGTGCCGACCCTGCTCCTAGTTCACATGCTGGCGTCCGAGAGCACTGAGGACATGGGTGCTCACCACTGTGCCCCTGAAAGTGGCTGCCTTGCTGTTTATCAACAGGGACCCAGGTCGGAGAAGCGAAGGCGCAGGCGGGGCAAAAAAGCAGAGCCCGGAGGTGCTGACAAGCAGGAAGTGGAGCACACCAGCACCCAGGAGCCCCTGGAGGTGATCCGAGAGGTGGTCGCAGAGGACGGGACCGTGGTCACCATTAAACAGGTGCTAGCTGCCCCGGGCATGGCAGGACGGCCAGAGTCGGACGTCGAGGACAGCCCCGAGGAAGCCGTTGTCCCGCCAGTGGAGCCCAGCCCCCGCTCCAACGCCATGCTGGCCGTGAAGCATGGGCGGCTCTACCTCTACGGGGGCATGTTTGAGGCCGGCGACCGCCAGGTCACCCTCAGTGACTTGTACTGCCTGGACCTCCACAAGATGGAGGAGTGGACAGTCTTGGTGGAGATGGATCCAGGTGAGAGGGCAGGCACCGCGGGTTGCCGTGGGAGCCCCGACTTGTCCGCCCAGCGCCCTGAGCCTCTGTGGGCGCTGTGGCTCCCGCCCCTGTGCCCTCAGTAAGGGCAGGCCCTGTTGCCGGCCACGTTGGTGCAAAGCAGACAGATGTGTGCGTTCCTCCCGAGGTGCGCCTGGGGCCAGACCAGGTGGCCGACCCTTGGCCCCTCGGCCCCACTGCACAGCTGTGCTGCTCAGCTCTGAGGTCTGAGACAATTCGGGGTGTGGCTCTAGGTGGCTGTCTTGTAGCACAGCTCCTCAGCCTCCCAGCTCCGCCGGGAGACGCAGGGAAGGCACGTTTTCCTCGTGCTCCAGATGCGCACATCTGGTGTTTAGGCAGAAGGTGGCGCCCTCGGGCGGCTGCCGCCCCTCTGTAGTACCCCCGGCACCAGCTGTGTGGACTCTCTGGTTTTCACTTTTGCTTTAAAGAAACCCAGGAGTGGCTGGAGGAGACGGACTCAGAGGAGGACAGCGATGAGGCCGAGGGTGCCGAGGGCGGCAGGGAGGACGAGGAGGACGAGGACGAGGACAGCAGCGACGAGGGCGGGGGTGAGTGTGCTGCCCCGGGCGTCTCCATCCACTGTGGTCGGGGGCTGGGGCCCAGTCTCCCCAGAGCTTACAGCCCAGGTCACTTCTCTGCCATTAAGTGCTCATTTTTATGGATAATGAGAGATTTTAAAGTTTTACTAAGGTTTTGTTAAAATTTGACTTTGCTTTGTAGATGTGCTCTTGAGGCAAGCTAAAGTTTTTGGGTTTTAGCCGTTTCTGGAGTGCGTCTGAGCGGCTTGCTGATCCAGCAGGCTGTGGTTTCCTTGTGAAGTGGGCCACGGCCTGGGATGCCCTGTGTGTAAGTCCGCGTGCTCACTGCCTGCTCCCTCCTCGGCTGAACGTGTGTTTCTCATTCCTTCCTTCCCCGCAAAAGAGCTGCACCCCTCTGCGAGGCCTGGTGAGCCGTTCGCAGACTGCCTGCCTGCCCGGGACCGAGCGGCACTGGCTGAAGCCGGCCCAGGACGGCGCAGGGCTCAGCGCCCAGGAGAGGAGAATGCTGAGAGCCGCCCAGGCCACGGCCAAGGCTTTCTTTGATGACTCGGCGTGAGCGGCACACTGGCCGGAAGCTCGACTGAGGGCGGTGTGGTTTCTTGCCCGCGGCTTGCCGGGTGTGGACTGGGCACGAGGCGGCTGCTGCGAAGGCGGTCTTCACAGTCTCCGGGCACCGGTGCTTCTGGCAGGGAGGCCCGGGGCACGGCCGAGCTGAGGGTGAGGCCACCCCTACGACAGGCAACACCTTGACCGTGACGTGGAATGTTGAGCTTGGTGGGGGGGCTGTCCTCTGCCAGGCTGGGAGATGAAGTTTCTCCTTGGCCAACCCAGAGGTCCTCTCTTTGGTTTTCAAAATTTATCAGTAGCTGCCCATCAAGTCCTGTCCGCGTTCTGCTGGTTGTCTATAAAATAAAGCACTTGTTGGAGGGCCGGGCTGCTTGCTCTGGCCCGCGGCTGTGCCTGGGGTCTCTCGGTGTCTCGTGGGACTGCTCCTTGCCTCCTAGGGAGGAGGTGGTGGAGCCACGCTCTGCTCCTTTCCCCTCGGGCTCCAGGTTGTCATTGCCAAGTGACAGCAGAGGACGGAGCTGGATCCCCCGGGGCGTCACCGTCCAGCTCATGCTCGAGGGAGGGGGCCCAGCACAGGGGAGTCTGGGTCTGCGGTGTGTCAGCGTGCTGACCGGTGCTGCCCCGGGGCTCAGGGCAGGAGACTGGGTTCTTTTGTGGAATTGGGTCATACGTTGGACTTGGAATTTGCACTGGGTGCTCCCTGTGTTGGTGGAGCCGGAACAGCAGGGCAACGGCTGGTTCAGGGTCAGCAAGGGTAAGCCCCCCGCCACACCGCTCCTCTCACTGGCCCGCCACCCGGCCCCGCCACCCCTGCGGACAGCACACAGGAGCTCCGTGGGGCTCTGCGGGGGATCAGTGGGTAGTCCTGCGCTCTCCCCGCTTGGCAGGAGCAGCTGAACCGGCTGTCTGGGTCAGGCTGTCAGGTCACCCGCAGGGCTGGCGTGAGGAAGTGGGTTTCTGGGGCTGGACTGAAGTGAGCAGAAGTCCCGGGAGCCTCGTTGTTTGTGGAGCTGTCTCTGCACGTTTTCAGCAGGTGACGGTGGTGCTTACTGCACGTGACATCTGGCTTTTGTACCAAGTTGGTACAGGCAGGAAGTCAGTGCTTGGTGACAACAGAAACGCACTAAGGGACCAGACGCTGGCGGGGCTGCTTCGGTGTCGTCCACTCCTGGCAGAGGTCACCCTCCAGAGGTGTCGCTCGGGGCCTGCAGGTGACGTGGGTGAGACGCACCTTAGTTGGGATGAGCGTGTGATAGCGTTGGACGGAGGCTCTGATCTGAGGAGTGTGGCCGGGGTGGGGGCAGCAGCTCCCTCCCTGGAGGGAAAGCCATCCCTCCGCCGTCTGCCGCTTAGCTCTATGGGCACCAGAGGAGTCCTGCTAACTGCTGCTTTCCCGGGTGCCTCCGGCCAGAAGGCGTGGCTGTGTGGGGGTGTTGGGCCAGAGCGCCCCCAGTGCAGGTCACAGTCACCTCCATTTCTGTGGCAAGTTTCATTTGAGGCCGGGCCAGTTCGCCCGCAGGGGTGGCGGGGCCGGGTGGCGGGCCAGTGAGAGGAGCGGTGTGGCGGGGGGCTTACCCCGCCGGGCCGTTGTGACCACGGGGTCCAGTAGGAAGCTCAGGCACTGACAGTGTGGCCGGGATCGAGGCAGCCTGGACTCTGGCTGGCCAGGCCATTCTCCTCATCTGAGAGTCCCCGCCCCCGCCCCCAGTCTGAGCCACCGTGGGGCTGAGGAGCTGTGTGGACGGCTGCCAGGCCCAGCCGCCAGTGCCGTGCAGGAGCAGAGCTGGGGCTGCTGCTGTTCTCGAACCAGGCCCTGGGCGGCGGTGCAGCCCAGGACTCGGGGGCTGGTGAGGTGGGCTCCTCCCAGCTTTCGCTGGGTGCGAGCTGGGGAGTCCTCGTCTGTGGAGCTGGGTCTGGTAACACCATAGCATGTCAGGGGTGGGGGATTTTGACGTCGGAGAAGCTCCAGTAGGAAAGGGAATAACCACCTGTGGGAAACAACAGGTGAAGTTTAAGGAAATCGAAACAGGTTTGAAACCACGATGCTACGAGGGTCCGCGGGCAGAGCCTGTCTTTGAGAGTCATCTCTGTGTCCTCCATTCGTGGGCAAAGGGGGACAAGCGCCAGGCGGGCCCCGAGACGATGGCCTGTCTGTTCACACAGGAGGTCTGGCGCGGGGAGCGGGGCACATCGTGGGTTCGTGCTCCTGGAGCCTTCCTGCTCAGGAGGCCCTCTAAATAGGACAGAGGGACACACTGTCAGATAACTTGGTTCCATAAGAAGGAATTTACACGTGTTCATCTCAAAGTTTGGCAGTAGGAGGAGTTTGCAGCAAAGACACTGATTTATAAGGAGGTGACGCAGGTTACAAGTGATGATGTTTATTATTAAAAGGAGCAAGGTTTTTTTTCAGTCTTAACAGCCTGCCTCCCTTGCTTTCAGGTAGTGAAATATATAGTAATGGTGTGATTTGAACAGTTACATTCCTCAGAGAAAACTTTTATATTCCGAGCTGTTTTTCCAGCTAAAAGAAAAGCAAAAAAGGCCATTTCAGCTGCTTCATCATAGGAAAAAACCAGACATAGCTGCGTTGCCTTTTGTTGTTGCACAAGACGATCGGCTGTGGCAACAGACGGTTTGCATGCACCAGGACGAGGATGCAGAAGAGGACATGCAGGTTGAGAGCGACGTGTCAGAGTCCACAGGAGGCCCCGACATCCAGGCTGAGGGCTCCCCCAATGGTAAGGGCCGTGTTGGTTTTACTTCAGCCCAGCTTCGTCAGGTGGCGTCTCTTTGGAGGTGATGGGTGGGGCCCATGAGCAGGCGCCGGCTGGAGGGTGTGGTCGGGTTCGCTCAGTGTGCAGGAGGCTCGAGATGCGCGGTCGGGCACATCGGCTCACATGGAAGCCTCATGTGATACCACCACCATGCAGCCGGCCACGCTGCTCTCAATAGGGTGGGGCTCACCCGGGACCCGAGGGATGGCACTGCCGCTGGTTCAGGGTACTTGTGCGTCTTTACAGAATGATCAAAACCCAAACTGAAAAGCACCAAACAAATGCTTTATTTCATTCACTCTCCCGAATACTCACCTGCTTCGAGTCCATGGCATCTTGGCCTTGGTATCTGACCGTCTCCACTGGACTCTTGGTGATGTCCTTCATGTTGTGCGTGGGGTGGCTGTGCAGTGGGACCCTTGAGGGTGAAAGGCTGGCCGTCAGGCGCTGGCCGGGACGAGGGGTGGCCCTGCTGTGTGCCTGCACCCTACGCGCCGCACCTGGGCCCCGGGGCCCCTGTGCCACTGGGACCAACCTGTGCTCCTCCTGCCTCCCCGGGGGACCTCGGGGTCGTGCACGCAGGGAAACTCACTGTCCCGCAGTGTCGTTAGTCACGCCCCGTGCCTCGGACTTGCAGCAGAGAGGAGCCGTGGTTGTGGGAGGCGAGTCAGAAGGCCTGTGTCTCCCCCCCACCCTCCGGGTGCTCTCAGCCTTGGGCTTCGCGTGGCTGTGGCTGTGGCTGCACCAGACTCTCCCCATGGACAGCGCCGGGTCTGTTTGGTTTATGTGCTGCATACGTTGTGCAGTTCCTCTCCAGCTCTTTCCTGGTACAGCTGGGGGTGCAGCCTCCCAGCCGGGGAGGGAGCAGTGGGCAATGGCCGCTCCCCCCCCATAGCTCAGGTAGCTTAGTGTCTCCGCTTCCAGTTTCACATCTAGAGCCTGGAAGCAGCTGTCAGGAGAGAATGACTCTCACGAGGTTGCTCTGGGATTAATTAAAACTTGGCAGCCCTCAGCACCACTGGGGCCGCCTGACGACACCTGCCCCTCCCGACAGCCCCGGGTGTCCTTGTCTAGCTCAGCACACGTGTGTCCACCAGGAACTTGCGTGGCGGAAGCGGGTCAGCCGACCTGGCCCCCGAGGGAGCTCGTGGCACCCCTGTCCGGGAAACCCAGGGCTCTGGGTGGGTGGGGCAGGCGGGCCGGGCGGAGCAGAAGCCTCCGGCAGTCCTGCAGGACAGCCTAGTCTTTAATCAGAGTCTGGAAACCAATTGAAAACGAGCTTCTGGAGCCCCAGCCCCAGCACGGGCAGTCACGGTGGAGCCCACTCGATTTACCGGGCGCAGGGACGCTGCAGAGGGCGGGCATCGATTTGGTTTGCAGTTTTTATGGGCAGTCTGACAAGTGAGGGGACACTGGCCAGCCCTGAAGCTGCTGCTCTTGTCAGGGATACGGTCACACACCTCCTGGTGTGACCTGCGTGTGTCGTGCAGCTACTGGGAGGTACAGCGCGTCTCTAACGCTTACAGAGCTGCAGCCAGAATTACAAGACACACCCCAGCACGGACGGACGGACGGACGACTCAGAGCTGCGAGGAGCAGGCAGGTTTATTTGGTTCACTCCAGGGCTGGCAACCACGCAGTAGTAAAAAAGAGGAACGCAAAGTAAGATGTACAAAAAGATGTCGTGCCCCTTTAGAAAGTAACATAGTCAGAAGTGCACTTCCTGCGGATCCTCCCTCCCTCTCCTGTGTCCCCACTCCCCCAAAAAAGACCCCCACACGAAACCAAACTGTGAAAAGGAACCGGGGTGGTGGTGGTGGTGTGTGAATGTGTAACACAAAAAAAACGGGATTTAACTGGAACATGCTCTAATCTTTAGTTTATTTCTGGTTAAAAATATAGCAATCCAGTGCAGTGTAGTAAAGAAATCTGCTTGAAAGGTAGCAGAGAAACAGCTGAACATAAGCAAAGCAAGGCAGAGTCCACGGACGGCCGTGCCCAGGACGGTGTGGGGCTCACGTTCAAGACCTTCCCAGGCGTGAGTGCATGGGGCCTCGTGTGGGTGGGACGAGGGTGCTGGTAAAGAGGGCAAAGACCGGGAACCTGGGTCTGTTGGATTGAAATGTTACGTCGCATATTTTGGAGGAGACGGATATGTAATGATTTTTCAGGAATTTTTAAGCCCCTGGGTTTCAACCACACTCTTGTCCTGGGACCAGACTGGCTCCAGGGTGTGAATGAGGCATCTGTCGGGAAGTGAGGGCAGGCCCTGGACAGAAATGGGAAAACCCGTGGGCTAGTGACAGTGGAAGCCGTCACACCTGCTGGCGTGACAGGGACACGGGAGCCTGCGCACGCATCCTAAGTGCAGAGGTGCCCCGTGCGCGGAGCCCCCCCGGTGGCAGCCCGTTGCCCACAGCGCAGCTGCCCCCAGGGTGGGAGGGCGGGGGGGGGACAGCGGGAAGAGTCAGGCCTTGGCTTTAAGACCCGCGTGGGGAGCCGGCCTCACGAGGAGGGCTGTGGGGCGGTGCGGGGAGAGGGCAGGGTTGGGATCCGTTTCCTGGGGCCAAGGGAAAGCAGGTCTCTGCTTCCCTTAGCGTGCAGCACAGATTGGAGAGAGAAGGCCCCGGCTCTGCCCTCCCCGCCCTCACACCCGCCCCTGTCACCTGCTCCTCCAGAGCTGAGGACAAGCAGAGTTTCCGACCCCCCGCCCGCTGCCCGCGCCTGGCCCAGCCAGACCCCGAGGGTCTGCCTACGGCTCCCCATCCCAGAGGGGAGTGTGATGACGGGGAAGGCCATTATGTGTTTTTGCCGACGGTTTGCCAGGACCCCTTTTCCTTCCACGTCAAGCTGGAGGGTCGGCGTGCGGGCCTCTTTGCCACGCCACACAGCATAGTGTTATACAAGCAGAGTTTTGGCTAAAATCCAAAAAACATTACCCAGAAAAAAAGGCAAACTGTGAGTAATACCCAGTCACGTGGTTCTGTGAAGACTCGGAAGTAGCCGTCGGCCGTCCGAGCTCCGAGCTTCCTGTCCGCTGTCTTGCTTTTAACATCCCCGTTTATACCCCAGCTGTTTCTGCCAACGCGACAGCCTCGTCAGATGAAAAAGTTAATAAACAAAATGGCGACTCCGATGTTCAGCAAGATCACCATGGCGACCAGGATGGGTGCAGAGCCCTGGAACAGGAGAGGAGGCCTGGTGAGTCCACACGGGCCCTTGCTCTCGGCCACACTTGGAGCGGCCAGAAACTGACCTGCGCCCCCACCCCTGGTGCCCAGGCCTGGGGGGTGTGATGTCCCCACACCTGCATTTCTGCCCCCAGCTCTGCCCAGACGGGAGGAGGGGCACGGGCACCTCACCTTCAGCCCACCCAGCGGGGCCCCAAGTTCCCCGGGGGAGCCCTAGGCATTCTAAACACACTGCCTCCCCGAGAGCTGCTGCGCCCCCACCCATCCCCCCCGTGCGCAGCACCAGGGGCCCCCGGCCACCTCTGCGGGCCCGGCTGCGGCCCGGCTGCTGCCCGGCTGCAGGTTACTGCGCTCGTACCTCTGCCCGAAGCAGCTTGGAGAACAGTCAGCACCTTCAGGGGACTAAATTCAGAGCCACTTCCTATCTCCCACCCTGCCCCGCGTTTGGCTTCCTAAAATAACCACGAGCGCACACGTTTCTGGAAGGGAGCTGGCATCTAGGCCCCGGCAGAAGCACGGGGGCCGCTCCCTGGGTGCCAGGGCTCAGAGGGCAGGTACACCGCAGCACCAGCCCAGTGGCAAGACAGACGCTCATGGTGGCTTCAAGGGCCACCTCCCAACAGAAGGTGCTAAGTCCCAGTGGGCTGGGGACACCCCTCGGGACAGGCCCTCGGGTGTCCTCGTGTTCAGGTGAGGCTGAGAACGCTGTGCCCACAGCAGGTGAGACGCCCTGATGCCGACACCCTAGTCCAGGCTGGATCGCACAGGGCGTCAGCTGCTGGGCTGTGGGTCTGTGAAGGTGTGTTCATGGGCTCTTCCCACTGCCATCCCATGGAGGGAGCAGGGAGTGTCCATCTACCAGCCGGAGCTGCTGGGCCAAGGGTCCCAGAGATCACTCCAGGGTCCAAAAGGATCCCCACGTGGTCTGGCCCAGGGGCCTCTCTCCTTTCCTCAGAACTGCCTGCTCTCCCTGGCAGGCGTGCATTTAGGGTGCGTCTCACACAGGAGACACAGGCCTCACACCTGAGCAAGACCCAGCGTCCTGCTCACCCAGGGCCTGATGATCCTGGGTCACAGCCCCACCTCGAGGGTCTGAGCCCACAGGCCTGGGGAGAGCCCTGCGCTGGTTGGAGGATCCCAACCCTGCCCTCTCCCCGCACCGCCCCACAGCCCTCCTCGTGAGGCTGGTTGGAGGGAGGCCGGGGCAGTGGACAGTCCCACATGGAACTCTGTCCCCCTCACCCAGTGAGTCTTGCCTATGTCCAGCCTCTGCATCGCCCTCCAGGATCCAGGGCATTCCTCGAAGTTGGGAGGAAGAAACTGCTTACCAGGAGACCCTCCCCCGAGCAGAGGAGGACCCGCTGGGGCAGCCAGGAGGCCTGTGGGGAAACTGGGGCCCAGTGCTGCCCTGCTGCTTTCAGGGGCTTCCAGAACCATTCAGGTACTTCTGCTAAAATGATCACGACTCAGGCACCTGTCACGCAGTGTGGCCCCCACCACCCTGGCTTCCTACAGTGAGGATCCGGGGGCCTCGGTGGCCTGGCTCGGCCTGGCTCGCACCCTGGGACTGCAGGCGCACTCACCGTGCTAGCCTTGAGCTCGTCCCCGGTCTCCTCGTCCGACTCCAGCGCGGCGGGCGAGGACCTCTGGGGCGGGGAGAAGGTCAGGTCCCAGCGCAGCAGCCGGGGCTCGGGCCTGTCCCCCAGCCGCAGGCTCTCCAGCCTCTGCACCGCGGGCTCCGTGCACGAGGCCGGCCGGGCATACTCCCTGCTCTGGGCCTTGGGCCGCAGTCTCTCGGCGCGGGGGGTCCTCCCCGGGGCCCCGGCCGGCACCCCCCTTGCTGTAGCGTCTCTTCGGGGGGGTGCGGCTCCTGTGCGTATGAGTCCATCCGCAGCAGGGGCTTCATCTCCAGCTCGTAGGTGCTCAGCTTCTCCTCGTCCAGCTCCAGCAGCTTGGTGCCCGCAGGGCCGGGGTTGCCGACCCGGGGGTGGGAGTCCAGGAGAAGGTGGGGGGGGACTCCGTCCGCCGCTCCCGGGCTCTGGGGGTTGCTGGGCTGCTTGTGGCCTGAGCCCCGGGTGCGGAAGTCGTCAGCGGGCTGGCCGCCGCGGGGGGCACCACTCCGGACGCCCCTGGAGCCCCCAGCCCTCTCCTCGCCCCAGCTGTTCCGGGCGTAGTCCCCTCCCCGGCCCTCCAGGAGCATCTGGATGTCCCCGCCTCGCTCCTCGTCCACCGAGACCTGCCGGGAGAAGTGGGTGACCTTGTTCCTGGAGGCGAGGGCCGGGGGCGGGGTGGCCGTGGGGCTGGCAGGGAAGCTCTGCAGGGGGCTGTCGTCGGGGGTCAGGTCCGAGGGGGTGGTGCCTTTGCGGTACAGCTCAGGGCTCTCCTGCTGCAGGGGCGTACCCGTGGAGATCACCTCGATGTCGTCGCTGGAAAGCTGATGCTTCGGCCGCTGGTACTCGAGCCCTTGGTGAGGGAGACGGGAGGCACAGAAGCTGGTTACAGGGAAGGTGCCCCCAGAGCCCCCTCCTGGGCACTCAGAGGATGACCGGAGCCTGACGGGCGTGGCGGACAGAGGCTCTGGCCTGGCCCTGCTCTGCGGGCTCTCAGGCCCCAACCCCACGGGTCTCTCCTGACAATAAAGGAAGCAGCTCGTGCTTGGCGACCTTGTGTGGGGTGTTATGGCCAGGGAGGCCCGAGCCTTCTGGAGACAGGGCTCGGCAGGCGTTGGGATCCTCTCCCATCTTCCATCTGGAGCCTTGGCTAGGGGAAGGGGTGGAGTCAGGCCCCTCCCTTTAAAGACATCCCAGGTGCTACTGGTGGCACACAAAGCAGCTTGAGGCCCCCTCCTCTCCTCTGGGTTATGAGACGTGGCAGCGAGGAGGAGGCAGAGCTGCTGGTGCCCCTGAACAGGCTTCGGAGACCTGTAAGTGCTGAGGAGTGGGACACGCGGGGCTCAGGGCAGCGGTCAGCCTTGAGGTCGCTGGAGGCGTGGCCCCCTTTCAAGCACTGGCCCCCACGGTCACTCCCCTTTCCTGACAGATTGGGACTTCCTTGGGGTTGGACTCCCAGGCCTTAGACCCTGAGAACATGGGCGAGCCTGGACACCAAGCCGTGTGGGGGCCTGTGGCCTTCCAGAAGGCCGTCTGTCCACTGACAGCCCTAGGGTCAGCCCTGACTAACCCTCGGACCCCATACGCCAGAGGGAGGCCATGCCCTCCTGCTCAGCGCTGGTGCCCTGACAGCACCACCAGCCAGGAGAGGGCTCAGCTAAAATCAGCTCCAGGAAAGCAGGGAGTGGAGCCGAGGGGTGGGGGCTGAATGCTAACACCCCTTCCCCTGTCTTGGGTCGTGAGGTTCCCAGGGCCTCTCAGGACCTCCTGGCTGCCAGGACCCCTACCAGCCAGGCCAGGTGCTCTGGGCTCTGGGAGGAGAGCTGGGGTGTGGTCTTGGAACAGAGTCCACCCCCAAACGTTGAAAGGCTTCCACTAGCTCTGGGGAGCGTGGGTCTGAGGGAAGCGCAATCCTGACCCGAGTTGGGTGGCCAGCCCGGCTGCAAGGACCTAGGCCTCAGCTGGCCTCCCTGCCCCCGTCAGGCCTGTCCCAGAGCTGTGCCAACCAAGACGGCTGCCACCAGTCACGCATGGCTGCTGATGCTGAAGTGCAGATCAGGTGAGATGAGGTGGAACTAAAGGTCCAGGCCCTCGGCCACGCCAGCCATGGGTCCTGCACAGTGGGCATCTATCTCGTCGGGCAGAGCAGTTAGAGAAAGCTCTAGCCTAGCCCTGGGGGAGGGCGGTGCACAGACACGTGTGCAGGCAGCTGTGGACGCAGGGCCAGAGGTGCTGACACCACGCGTGCTCCTACCCTTGTGCCGAGGCCCCTGTGTGGACACGCAGCGCCACAAGGGTGGCAGTGGGCTGATGGGGGCTTCAGGGCAGCCCCCCTGGGGGCCGGGACTTACCGTTCTCCCTGTGCTGGAAGGAAGGGGAGAACTCTTTGGCAGTGATCCTGGCGATGCGCGCTTCCTCCTGGGCCTTCTGAGCCGCGGTGAGCGCCGCCTCGGCCTTGGCCCGGGAGTGGGAGGTCCTGGTGGGAGAGATGGGGTGTCGGTGAAGGCATGGAGGGGTGGGGCTGGGCGGCCGCCAACCCTGCAGCGCATCGGGCTGGGACAGGATGCTGGAGACCTGCCGACCTCATTCGTCATTCAGCAAACGTCCCTGTGCACCACCCAGGCTGGGCGCCCGCCCACTGCCCTCAGCATGGGGCAGACCGCACCGGAGAGCAGGTCCCTGTCCCTCATCCAAGGCGAGCTCAGGTCCTAGAGGCCAAGACCTGCGCTGACCCGTCTGAGCCTCTGGGGGCAGACAGGTGCTCTACAATGTTGACTTGACTGGAAAGGACAGTTCCAGGGGCAGCTGTCCACCGTCCCAACCAGGGCAGAGTGGGCCGCGCTCCGGGGTGGGCAGCTGGCAGGCCAGCTCGACGGTGTGACCAGTCCGCACACAGCATGTGCGAGGGCAGAGGAACAGGGCCCCAGCCTGCGAGCACCCCAAGAGCCGGCTCCCAGGGGAGCACGGCTGAGCCCAGAGCTCAGGAAGGTCCCACCCCAGGGAGACGGGCCTGGGATGGGTGTGCCGCCCCCAGCCCCAGCTGCTGTCTTGTGCCTCCACAGCTGGTATCGCCAACCCCGAGCAGGTGCAGGAGGCAGGCCCAGGCATCTGGGAAGCTCCTCCACGTTGGTGCAAGCCGTGGCCTCCAGGCGCTGAAAGAAGGCAAGTCTGAGAGGGGACAAGGCCCGACTCCCCTCAGCACTGAAGGCGTGTGATGTCCCCCCTCCATCAGGGTCTGTGGCAGCACCAACCTCGGGGGGGGTGTGAAGTTCCAGGGCACAGGCCCAGCGTGGGGACCCCCACCCCCCAAGGTGGACACGGGGCCCACCAAATCCAAGTGAGCGTGATGACACAGCTCTGAATCCTCCAGCAGGACAACCTCCCACCCAACCGAGCAACTCCGGCCTGGTACCCCAGGGTGTGGGTGGCCCCAGCTTGAGGCCCTCCAGCTGAGCCTCGTGTGAGACCCTCCTCCCAGACCGGGCGCCTGGCGCAGGCGGTGCCCAGGCCCTGAGGGTCGTCTTCCCTGGTGTCCTGGCCCAACAGGGACCAACCCCCGAGAAATGGGCAGCCTGTCCCCAGGAGGCCTCCCCCAGCCCCCCAGTGCTCACGCCGCTTGCTCCGTGGGCTTACCCTGGAGACTCCTCTGAGCGACTGGGTTCCCTTTTTTTCAGAATGCCCCTGTGCTCACCCGGAACAACTTACTAGAAGGAAAGCAGTGCACGGTGTGCCCACAGCACGTGCGTCAGCGTGGGACCGTGGCTCCAGGTCCCCGCGCCCCCACGCCCCCACACTGCCAGGGAGCAGGCCCCAGGAATGGAAGAGAACGAGGTGCAGAAATCCCACCCTTCACGTGGTTTCCTAGAAATGGGGAGGTGGCCGCCACCTGGGACGGCTGCTCCCTGTGACCCCTCATGGGAAAGCTCAGAAGCCCCACCTGCTAGAAGATTCCTCAGGAACCTCGTGCAGGCAGGGCCGTTAATAAAACACGAATTGTGAGTCCTAGTTTATCGGTCAGTTGTTACCACTTCAGTTGATGCACGGCTGCAGCCCACGGGCTCCCTTGCGTCCCCCACCTGAGGACAGTGCAGTCCAGCGGTCCGTGAGGTCACAGCTCGAGTTACAGGACACACGGGCTTGCCCGCCCAGGCCCTATGTTGGAGGCTGGTCGGGGCAGACGTGTGTCTTGAGAGTGGGCAGCGTCACATCAGAAACGTGGGTGGACATCAGACCCAGTGACGGCCAGTATGAGGCCGGTCATCTGGGGCCAGGGTGCTGGGGCGACGGGGGAAGGGATGGGAGGGCAGGGTGTCTGGCTGTGCGGGGTCCTGGTGGGCTCGCCCACCGCCACCACGGCTGCTACGTCCTGCCCCGTCTCTTCTGGGCTGGGGCCCCAGTGGGCAGCTCCGCAGAGTAGAGAGCACGGACACCCTGATACTCCAAGGCTTCCATATGCTGCTGCCTCCCGCAGGCAGGGCGCAGGGCTTCCGTCTGACTCTGTGAGGCCCCAGATCTCAGACGCGCTCGCCTGGGCACCAGACAGCCTGACCTGGTTCCTAGGAGGCACGGTCCCTGCTCGCCCCAGAACTGGCTCGGGGGCCTGAGCTCGCCTCTGCTGGACGAGGTCGCTTCTCCAGAGTGCTCCACAGGTTTAGTTCTGGTCATAATGGTTTTACTGAGATACAACCCACAGAGCGTGCAAAACTCACGCGTCAGAAGCGTGCAGTGGAGTAGTTTCCAGTCTGTTCAGGGAGCTGTGCCACCATCACCACGACTGCTTTTAGAACTTTTCATCGCCTCCCGGAAAGACCGCAATCCCTTTGACCAGTCATGCCCTCACTTCCCCCAGAACCTCCACACCAGCCCTGGACGACCAGTAAATTTGCCTGTTGTAGACGGGCTGACTGAGGTGGGACGCCCATCACAAAGTGAGCCACCTGAGAAGTCACGGTTCAGTGCGTCCAGCACATCTGCAGGCAGTGTGGCCACCACCTCTGTCTGGTGCCAGGGCCTCTCCGCCATCCCCAAAAGAGCCCTATCCCCAGGGCAGTTGCCCACCCTGTGTCATGATTCAGTGCCGACACGCCCCTGCGGCCGTGGCAGCCTTCCCGCCCCCGGCCCAGCAGCGGGCCCAGGTCCTGGGACTGCTCCTGGGTTCTGAGCCGAGTGTCCCCTGCACCGTGCTGCCCCTAATCCCGGGGACCTGGGGTCGTTAGCTGGCACACAGGCATCAGGGCTGACGAGGTGCCTTGCCCCCCAAGCCGGTGACATCCGCCCTGAGCCTCCTGCACTGAATCTGCGACGGGTCTAGCCCTCCGGCTGCAGGCGCCCCGTCACAGACAGAACCGCGAGACGTAAACATGTGTCTGCGCTGTGAACCAAGCAGTGGAGACGCCCTGAGCGAGGCTGCTGCGAGGCTGGGAGTGGGGACAGCCCCCAGGGCACGTGTCCTTGGAGTGGTGCTCGTGACAGCAGGCCTACGGGTGAACTGATAGCAGAGCATTCTAAGGTCACGAGGAAGGAGGGCAGAGAGGGCAGCAAGGTGACAGTTCAGGGCACCAGGTGGCTCAGTGCTACCTGGAGGGAGGGCAACAGGGAAGCAGCATTGATCCCATTCAGGGTGCATGTGAGACAAAAATCAAACCCTTGGCTCAGAAGAGGGATCGCCAGGGGGGCTCTGGACCTGGAGGAGGTTCTTTGGCCTCAAGGTTTCCTGGGGGCTTCCCGTAACGACCCTCGTGGGGCCATACAGTGAGTTCAGTGAAGACTGCAGGAGGCGGGACTGACCAGAGGCGAGCTGTGCAGCTGGGATGGGGCCCAGCGCAGCTCCGTGGAGGTTGGGTGGTTCAGGGCCGGCACCTCCCTGTTCCCTGGGAAGAGCGTGAGATGGACGGAGCCGCACCTGCTGCCTGCGAACGGCAGGTCTCCAGGCTCCTAACAGTTACTGTCCTGATGCGACAAATGCCAAATGCCAATGAATGTGGAGCCCAGATGGGGCTCTGGACCAGGAGGTGGGACGACCAGCCCCCAGAGATGAGGGGGGCGGGGAGGGGGGACAGGCTGCAGGGGGAGCGGGGAGGGTGGGTGGGCGTTGGGGAGGGGTGATGACAGCCTCCTCAGTTAGACCGCTGAGCTCAGCACGCCGGACAGGACAGGCTGCTCGCCCAGCGGAGTTACGGGTCAGAGAAGTGAGCAACGGTTTGCAGCAGTGCGTTTGACGGCTCCTCGTTTAGAGAAACGGTATGAACGTTTACCGCACAAGCTCCCGCCTTGGAGAACTCGGCTTAGACCCCCCAGAGGTCAGGCTAACTGGCGTCATTCCGACGCATTTCTGCACGCATGTCCCCGATGGACACGTGGCTCGGGCACCACAGCCCCTCTCCAGAAGAGTCTGTCAAAAAGGCCGACTGAGGCCGATACTTTCACAGACGCTTCCGGCCTGGTGCTGAACCTTGGGGGACAGAAACAAAGACAGCCCCTTCTCTGGGTGAGGCCCAGCTGCTCCTGGGGAGGGTCTGCGGGACAGTGAGAGCCGGGTCACTGCCCTCAGACTGCCACGTGGACGCCTGACCTTGGCCTGGGCCTCACAGCAGTATGGTGGGCGCGGCCAAGCCCGCGGCCCCAGGTCTGGCCCCCTCCCCTTCTAAGAACACCCCCTCCCACCGCAGGCTCCCGGAGAGGAGGGCGCGCTGCACCCGCCTGCTCGGGGCCCCCCAGCACCCCTGACAGGGCCTCGGTCTGGTGCCCACAGCTTTGCTTAGCGAAAACACGCAGACGTTAATTCACCAACATCACCCGCATGTTTACACACACACAATCACACGCATATAAAAAGGGCTTGCCGTGGCAGCCCTGAAATACGGTTAAATCAAGGCACCCGCATTTCATAGAGAGCGAGCCTCCCAAGGCACCGCCGAGGGTCCTCTCGCGCCAGGCTTGCAGGGCTCGGCCCGCAGCCAGGACCGGGAACGGGGGCGCTGGGGGG